GCCACCAGAGCTCTCTTGTGATTAGGTATTTTTGTCATGACAGGAATCTAGAGTGAAGGCTACATGGTGGAGTAGACCTGGGGGAGGGTTTGTAAAACAATGAAAGAATTTTACTTTTCCAAGACGGTAGTGTACTGGGGGGAGGATTGGGAGGGGAGAAAAGTGCAACAATGAATGAATGGAAATCCAAAGTTTCTGTAAATTTTTACTGAAGTTAATAATAAATTTAAATAAAAATTAAAAAATTTGGCTTGTTTGGTTCCAGAATCAACACTCTTGACACCAACAGTTAGGAAATCAAAAGATAAATTGCACTGGGAAAATCTGTGGTCAGGGACCACTCCAGAGTACTGAGAAGAAATGTCACTATAGCGACTAAGGTGCACATGATCTAGGCCATGGCCTTCACAATTACTTGCTATGCATCAGAGTGCTGAACAATGACTAAAGATGACAGAAGAAGAAATCGATGCCTTTGAGTTGTGGTCTGGAGAGTAAACATACCATGGACCACCAAGAGAACAAACAGGTCTGTCTTGGATAGGGTGAAACTAAGTTTCTTCTCAAAGGCTAGGATTTTAAAATTCTATCTCAAACACTTTGGATCCATGGCCAAGAGGAACCAGTTCTTGGAGGGTATCATGCTCTCGGGCTCAGAAAGGTGGAGGGACAGTGCAGGAGAGGAAGACCCTGTAGGAAATGGATTGATGCAATAATTGGGATAATAGTGGTAGGCATGCTGGAGTCAGGATAGGACTGGCTCAGGATAGGACAGGCTTCAGAACTGTTGTACACAGAGTTGCTATGAGTAGTAGGTAACTTGACAGTACATAACAAGTAAATAATCTATGTTAAAAATGTAAAGTTACAAAAGGAAGTATTTCACTACCTCCTTTATCTTTATCTGGTACACTGCCTTCACAGCACTAAGTCCTAACTCACTCCCCACCTCCCTCCACCCCCTGCCCATCTCGCTCCTTTACTTCCAGAGGTTTTGGCCAAGGGCAAATGATTTCAATCTCTATTTATGATGACCTAGTTAGTGGTCTAGAATTGCACTGTCAACCCAAAGGCCCATGGTTTGAATCTGTCAGCTGCCCCGCAGAATAACAACGGGCAATCAACTCCTGTGTGATTTACTGCCTCTGAATACCTGCTGGATGAGTAGGTCCTCACTTGACAGTACACAACAGTGGTAATGAGTTGTGCTGCTAATCCAAAGTCTCGGGGTTTGAATTCACTAGCTGATCAATGAGAGAGAGAGAAGGGCAATCATCTCTTTCCCTGTGATTTGTTGTTGTTGTTGTTGTTATGTGCCATCGAGTCCTTTGCGACTCATAGCAACCTTATGTACAAGAGCCCTAAACGCCCTTCTATCCTGTGCCAACCTCGCCGTCTCAAACACATTCATTCCCACCACTCCACTCACAGAATCGATCCATCTCATTGAGGGTCTTCCTCTCCTGCTCCATCCCTTCACTCTCCCAAACATGATGAACCTCTCCAAGGACCAGTCTGTCCTAGCAACATGCCCAAAATATGTCAGACGAAGCTTCAGAATCCTTGACTCCAAGGAGCATTCTAGTTTCACCTTCTCCAGGTCAAACCTATTTGTTCTCCTAGCAGTCCATAGTATATTCAACACTCTTCTCCAGCACCACAACGCAAAGGCATCAATTCTCTTTCTGTCATCCCTATTCACTGTCCAACTCTCTGATGCCTAGCACCTAATTGCAAAGACTATAGCCTGGATCAGGCTCACCTTAGTCTCCAGCCTGACGTCGTTGCACTTCAGTACTCTTGAGAGGTCCCTCACAACTGACTTTCCCAATGCAATTCATCTCCTGATTTCCTGGCTGCTGTTACCAAGAGTGTTGACTGTGGTGCCAAGTAAACGAAAACTGTTA